GTTTCTGATCTGTGCATAATAGGGAAGAAAGCACCATAGACTGAGGAAAGAGTCCTGCAAAGAGAGAAAATTCTTAGAGGTCACAGAAGACCAGAAATAGATCCTGTTCCCAGCAGCTAGAGGTGAAATACCTCATAATTCATCAGGATCAAGGAGAGCGCTCAGGAGGGTTTTGCCTCAATAGAATGGTATAATTATTCTGAAACTACTTGCTGGTCAGTAGCTTCACAATAAAGTGCATGACCCAGAGTGATCAAACTTTTTCTAAGCAACACAACTTTATCCAGGAACAAAGCTCAAAAATATTATAGAAACAAAATACTGTAGATCTAGGACCCACATCGCTTCTTGGCCTTTTGGTTAAGATCAAGTGTAATATCTAGAACCCACAAAGGAAAAATTCACAATGTGTGCCAACTAAAATATTTCTCAGGCATGTAAAGAAGCAGGAGCATACAAACCACAATGAGGAGAAAGTTTTGATCCATTAACACTGACCAAGATATAGCAGATGATGGAATTGCTTGACAAGGATACTAAAATACTTATAACTGCTATATTAATATGCTTAAGAAGTAGAATGACTAAACATATCAATGAAATATAAGGAAGATAAAAATGACCTAAATAAAGATTCTAGGAATTAAAATCTCACTGTCTGAGATGAAAAATACTTTTGATACAATTAAGAGTAGAATGAATACTACCCTTAAGAAAAGATTAGTGAGGTGGATCCTTTGATAATGAAGGCATTGCTATTTTTGCACTTCAGTTCACAAACTACTTGTGGGTTAAATCAGTAAAAACGGGATCCATTTTTTGGACAATGTGCTGCTGTTTATCATACTTCTATATGGTCTCTACTTGAGGTGGGTATGTGTTTATCATCAACCTTATTCCACTGCATTTATTTGTGCTGTTACTGATGCAGAGATTCAGCAAGAAAGTCTACACAGCATATAGCACTTTCTACATTGTGGGTTTAATATTATCCATGCAGATACCTTTTGTGGGATTTCAGCCAATCAGAACAAGTGAACACATGGCAGCTGCACGTGTTTTTGCGTTGCTGCAAGCTTATGCTTTCTTGCAGTATCTGAGAGACTGATTAACAAAACAAGAGTTCCAGACTCTTTTCTTTTTGGATGTGTCACTAGCTGCAGGTGCTGTGTTCCTTAGTGTCATCTATTTGACTTACACAGGTTACATTGCACCGTGGAGTGGCAGATTTTATTTATTATGGGATACTGCGTATGCAAAAAATACACATTCCAATTATTGCATCAGTGTCCGAGCATCAACCTACGACTTGGGTGTCTTTCTTCTTTGATCTACATATTCTTGTATGTACCTTCCCAGCAGGCCTATGATTCTGCATCAAAAATATCAATGAGAAAAGAGTATTTGTTGCTCTTTATGCAATCAGTGCTGTCTACTTTGCTGGAGTGATGGTATGGCTGATGTTGACTTTGACTCCAGTCATCTGTATGCTGTCTGCAACTGCCTTCTCCAATGTTTTTGAGCACTATTTGGGCGATGACATGAAAAGGGAAAATCCACCTGTGGAGGACAGCAGTGATAAGGATGACAAAAGAAACCCAGGAAATTTGTATGATAAGGTGGGAAATCTAAACTGAGGCCTTTAATAATATTATATGTTTTGGGGGGTTTTCTTCACTACAGTAAGAGCTGCATATTAAGAAATGTGATTGATTCTTTTGGGAAGATACTCAGTGGAGGAATAGCTGGGTCAAATGGGACTTCCAGTCCGAGTTCTTTGAGGTATCTTCATGCTGATTTCCACAGTGGTTGCACCAGTCTACATTCCCACCAACAGTGGAGCAGTGTTCCTCTTTCCCTACAGCCCCACCAGCATGTGTTGTTGGTTGATTTCATGATAGCAGCCATTCTTTCTGGAGTGAGGTGGAATCTGTGTTGTTTTCCTTTGCATCTCTCGAATGACCTGTGATGTATGAACATTTTTTCACATGTTTATTTGCTATTTCTACTTCTTTGTTTGAGAAATGTCTGTTCATTTTGGATGTCCATTTTTGGATTGGGCCTTTACATTTGGGAGGTCTGATTTTTTTTAAAGTTCTTTGTATATTCTAGATAGTGGACCTTTGTTTGAGGAATAGCTGCTAAGACTATTTTCCCACATTGTGGGTTGTCCACAGTTCATAGCGATGCAGTTTGTGATAGCTAAAACTTAGAAACAGCCCGGTTGTTCATCAACTGGAGTCTAGATAAAGAAGCTGTGTTCTTTATAAAATGGAGTACTATTCACCCATAAAGAGTGAGAAACTAGACACATTTATAGCTAAATGGATGCACATTGAGGCCATACTCTTAAGTGAAATACATAGGACACACATGTGTAAATACCAAATAGTTTCTCTGGTGTGAGAAACTGAAAGTGTAAATAAGAATCAAAATTCATAATAGATAATGGGAAATAGGAAGAAAATGGGCAAAGGGGAAGTGTGAGGGGTAGGGAAAAGGAAAGAAGGGAAGGGAATTAACATGAGAAACTGAAAAAATGGAAACAAAGTCTTTGTAAATAGAGAGGGGTGGAGGGGTTGAAGAGAGGGCAGGGGAACTGGAAAAAATAAGAATCAAGATATATTATGTAAAGGTACAAACCTCCAATGATGAATGTCATTATACAACATCATTGTATACCTAAAATGTACCAACAAAATTAATTTTAAATAAAAAATAAATGTGATTGAGACAAAAAAAGGAAAAGATTAGTGACACAAATGTCCATGACAGCATAATGGTAGCCAAAAAGTGGAAAAACCTAAATACTTGTCATTTGATTCATGGATAAACAAAATATGGTATATCTGTACAGTGGCTATTATTCAGCAATAAAAGGAAAGGAATACTATTTCATACTATGACAGGTAATCTTTGAAAACACTATGTTAAGTGAAATAAACAGATACAACAGGGCACATATTAAATGATTCCATTTGAATGAAATGTCCAGGATAGGCACATTTATAAAACGGAGAACAGAAGAGCTTCAGAATGGGGCTGGTCACCAGAGAGACCAAGCCATGTTTACAAGCTTCGAATATTCGGCTCCACCCCCTCACCCTCTGTAGACATAAGCGGGGCTAGAGATTGTGTTAATAACCACTTATACCTATGCATGAAGCTTCCATAAACATCTCTAAACTAGGAAGTTTGGGGAGCTTCTGGGTTGGCTAAACACATCCATGTGGCACACTCCAACTCCACGGGGACAGAGACTCCTATGTTTGGAACCTTTCTGAATCTCAACTTACATACTTACTTGTTCATCTATATCCTTCATAATACACAGGCAAACATAAGTAAAATGTATCTTTGATTTCTGTAAGCTGTCATAGAAAATTATCAGACTAATCTAAAGAGGGGTTTGTGGATATCCCAAGTTTATAGCCAAATTGGGGAGCAATTGGCAATTGAAGTGGGCAATCCCATGGGATTGAGCCTTTAATTTATCAGGTCTATGATGACTCTGGCTAGTTAGTGTCAGAACTGAATTAAAACATAAGACACTCAGTGGTATTCAGAGAGAAGTGGAGAATTGCTGGTGTAGAAAACCCATACACTTGGTGTCACAAGTGTGAGTATAGGGATAGGATTTTCTTTTTTTTTTTTTTTTTTGGCTTAAATTCTTTTATTGGTACATTTTAGGTGTACAATACGTTTACATTTATCATTGGGTACTTGTACCTGTACCTGTACATGATGTTTTCTTTTGCCATCTGAAGTATATTTTCCAGCCACGATGGAATTATACATTAGAAATCAATAACAGAAAAACTTATGTAAAGTTTACAAATATTTATAATCAGAAAATACAATTCTAAATAATTATATAAAAGAAGAAATATAAAAGGGAAATGTGAAAATATTTTGAATTCAGCAAAGTTATTACATGACTCAGCCATACCAATTCCATATATTTACTCAAGGGAAATGAAAGCAGATATCAAAACCAAGACTTGAATAAATATGATAGCAGCTTTACTTATAATATGGCACAGGAAAAAAAAATCCTCAAACGGCCATCTACAAGTACTGTAAATGGATAAAGTGTGTTAATACACATAAAACTATGTACCAATAAAAAGGCGTGAACTGTTATTACAGACAGCTAAGTTATGTAAAAATATTCTAGGCAGTCAGATAGGGGTAGGCCCTCGAGGCTTTGGGCAAATTTTAATTAAAATCTCTGTGCCTCAGTTTCCTCACATGTAAAGGGAGGGATGACTATAGTACCTGCCTTGTGGAGTTAAAGAAGCACTAGATAGGTTAATATATTTAAAGAGCTTAGAACAGTGCTTGGCATATAATTAGAACTCAAATATTAGCTGCTATTACAGCCTCTATTTTTATGCTTAAAGAAACTGGTTTTTTGCACCGGGGTTCGAACTTGGGACCTTGCGCTTGCACGGCTGGCGGCGGAACCACTGAGCTAAATCCTTGGCCCTTAAAGAAACTGTTTTAAGGCTATAATGTATACTATTCTACAAAGGGGTCAATGTCTTATTAATATTCATAATAATTTTCAAATTTCAAGTGACCTTACATAGCTTATTCATATCTCAATGTAAATAAATGGTTTCCTCATTGACAAACTAACCATCATTTGATATCCAGTGTGTCTGCTTTTCTTCCTTTTAGAAAATATTATTCCTTGAGGTTAGATCTTCAAAACCTGATTTTCAATTGTAAATTATTTTTAGATGCTGTTGGAATAGCAGATACTCCTATGCAAAGAAATTTTTCCACCTAAATGCATGGCATAACATCTTGCTTTGTCAACAACTGGTTCATTTCATCTAGAGTCAGGAAACAGCCTATATATGTCAACCCCTGGAATAATCATTAATACATTAATACCACATGGGCTGGCATTTCACCATTAATGCCATGTCAGTGAAATGAACTCGAAGATCAAGTATTTTCTCCAAACAACACAGATCACATTTCTTAAATACCTGGTGAATGAAGCTTGGAGGTGGAAGTTGCTATTCTTTTAGGAGATGAAACAGTAGGTTTACTAGCATCTTGATCTTTTTGTGCTTCTTTCTTTATTCCTATATATAGTTTGAAAAGAGAAAAAGAAATAAAAGCTAGTTATAATTCAAATGGTAAGATAAACTGTGGAAAGGACAGCTTTAAAAAAGGCAAACAAAAAACAAAAACAAAATATTCGGATAGTTTGTTGCTATGGTCACCACCCCCTGGGCTGAGGAATGACACATTTTTATAGTAAAGGGAATTTAGTTTTAAGTGGTCAGGGGAATAAGCACTGGGCTGTCTCTGGTTTGATGAAAACCCCTCCCTTCTCTGCCACCTCAGTGACCCTCACAAAGTAGGAATTAAAATTTTATTGTCCTTCACTACCAATGTGGTCTGGCTGCCTCTCTCTGATGAAACAATTTTTCAGAAGACATGGAAGGAAGTTGTAGCTGAACATACACTGCTAATGACTTCAGCGTCATACTGAGCTGAGCCACAGGGGACACGGTCTGACTCTAATTTCCATGCAGCTGGTCACAGAAGTGACCTGGAGAGTCTTCCAGCCCTCTCAGCTGCAGCTGAGCCTTTGTGGAAGCTGCCGCAAGCTGGCACTGCAGAAGGCATAACCTGAGTGTGGGCCATATCTAGGAACAGCATGTGGATGCCCCTCAGGTGATGTCTGGTGGCACACAGGGTACAGTGTGACATCTCCCTATGTGCTGGGCACAGCACTCACCTTCTCCTCACCTTCCCTGGAAAGTCAAACAACAGTGGATGGAAGATTAGAGAAACCACATTGACCAAGACATCCCTACACTTGCCTCTGCTTCCAGGTGCTATTACATCAATTCAAAAACAAAGCTTGCAATGGTTTCTCAGAAAGAGAACATGGATATTCCCCAAACCCTGTGATCAAAGTCTTCTTTCCAGAGGTAACTACTAATAATTTGATGATTATTCTCCCAAATATTTTCTAGGTATTTATAAGTATATACACATATTCAAATACAGTTATTAGTTAAATAAATAACCAAAGACTGTCACTTCTTTCAACCTACATATATTTAGGGGTAACTTTTTTATCAGTTAGTTCACAGACTTTTAAAATTGCCACATTGTATTAACAGGCAATGATATACTATAATTGATTTTACCATCCTCCGATGGATGAACATTGAGACTGTTTACAAGTTTTAGCCATTAAAATAGCTAAATATGCTACAACAGGCATTCTTCTATTTTTATCTGTCACATGTGCCAGCACCTTTAGAGGAAAAAGCATAGCTGCATTTCTGATAGGTTATGAATTTGCTCATTTTCAGTTGCTAAACAGAGCTCAAATTGTCCACTGAAAGGAACCACTGATTCATACTCCCAGTTGGCAATGGATGAAAACAATTCTTTTTAAATGCCAATCCCCTACTGACACTGAAGTCACAATCATATAATTTTTGCAAGACACCAAACATGCATCTTTGAAGTCACTTAAATAAAAACAGTTAAGTGGGCATGACCTTTTCTTATTGATTTATAAGAACTCTTTATTGTTCTGGATATCAGTCCTTTTCTTGATAATTTCCTTGTCATAAATTACATTTTCCAGTATACCATTTTTTAAAAACTTACAGTATCTTTAACTGTAGTTTTTAAATTTTAATATGTCCCTAAATATTGATTTTTTTTCCTTTCACAGCTTTAAAAACACCATTACAAATGTAAATGTACATGAGCAGGAAATGCATAGCAGGTCTGCTGAGGCTGTTAGGACTTACAGATGGCTGGAACTTCACAGTCTTCTAAGCCCAGCCACCATTCTGATCCACCAAAGTCACAGGCACCCTCAGTGCTCCCAATACAGGGCTAATCTCACCCTTCTATTTCTTCTTTTTTGATTTTAAGTCTTAACAAAAGTGGAAAGGTATTGAGACTCTTGGGAACTGGGAAGAGAAATGTTAAAGACCAAAAATTCACCAAACACATTTTCTACTTCAAAGGAAATCTAAACATAAATATTTATTTAGTCTTTCAGAGTTTTCTACTCAGCTTTAATGGAGTACAATTTGCAGTCTCAATCAGAAACTTAAATATTGATAGCTTTGATCTTGTAATCCCATTTGTACACATCTCTCTTTGGAACACTTCCACAAGTGTCCAAAGATATAAACTCAGAGACATTTATTACATGGTTTATAACAACAGAAATGTGTAAATGATCCAAATGCACATCAGGGAATGGTTAAACAAATCATCCTGTAATCAAACCATGAAGTACTATCTGCCATCAAAAAGAATGAGATTAGTCTATGTTGTACAAGCATGCAATGACATCCATAATAAGCAAAAAGCTAGTTTTTGAACAGTATAATATTATTCCATATTTATAACACAAAATATCATCTATATTGGGTTAAAATACATAAAATATCTAAAAGACAAATATCAAATTTTTAATAATGGTTATTTTTGAATAGTAGGATTGAAGGGCTTTTATAATTTGTTCTAATGTGCTTCTGTATTATTTATATTTTTATGACAGCACACATTACTTGTATGATAAGAAATAAAAACAATAAAAGCAGAAAAACCAAAACTAAAATGAAAATAATTTGTCTGATCATGGAAGGATAGGAGACACCAATCCAGTGTAATCTCAGAAGAATAATTGGATGGAAAGTTTCACCATCTCTCTGCCAACAAACCTCCCTGTAGGAACATAAGGCTGCCTGAGAGAATCATGTGGCTCTGGAATTCTTGATAGCCCAAAGAATTAGAGCAATTAGTCAAAAACCTTTCCTTCTTCTTGCAGCTTTCTTCAACCTACACTCAGCAAGGCCAATGTGTAGCCCCTGTGCTATGGTGGACACTGGTGCAAATCCCAGAGTCCAAAGGCTCAAGAACCTGTGGTGTGACAAGCAAAGGCAGCAACAGAAAAAAACTGTGCCTTCCTTAGGGAGGAAACTGTTTCTCCTTCTTCAGTACACTGAAAGAAACTGCTTCTACTTCTTCAGTTCCATTGGGGCTTCCAGCTAATTGGACAGTGTCACCCACATAGGAGTGGGAATTTCACTCCCAGTTTGCTGACCCACCTGCCATTCTTTTCAGGAAACACACACACACACACACGCACGCACGCACGCACGCACGCACACACCAGAAAGATGCTGTACTGGTGCTCCAGGCATCCTTCAATCCAGTTTTGTTGACACCCCAAATTAACCATCACAACCATCTTTGTCCCCAGGTGGGGACAACTTTTCTGAGGAAGAAACTGACAGAGGGAAAAGAAGGGCCCAGGAGCTGGAGCAGCAGGAGGATGCCCCTGCTGAGCTCCTGGGTCTCCCCGTGTGCCTCCCACTAGCATACCGCCTGAAAGCCTTGGTGCTGTGAACCAACATCCCTGTGGCCATGGCAGTCTGAATTAGGTTTCTGAAACACTGAACTAAAGAAGACCTAAGTTAAAAAAAAAAAAAGAAGACCGAAATTATATAATGCCAGCTGAAAAAATAGCTGTTAAAAAAGTACACTCAACTAAATAAATACAACCAACTTCTTCTGGGTTGTATATTGGTTAAAAATACTCCTGTTGTATCTTATCTACGCTGAGACTGAGAACCAAATAAGTGCACTATGGCTTCTGGCATAGGAAGAAAGCAGCAATGAAGGGATAAAATGCCAGCCTCAGTCTGATCTCAGAAAAGTTTTATTTGAAATATTGTCCTTGATAATATTCACCTGATGCAGACAAATTTCTGCACATCAGGTCTTAAACTACAGAGCAAAAGAATTTGACATATAGATAAGGGAGGCATATAGGACTCCAACTAGCCACGGATCAAAAAAAAATCTACATCTACACATATAACAGTCAAGATCCCAGAAGCCCAACAGAAGAGCAGTTAGAGAAAAGAAACAAATCACATACAAAGGAAAGCCTATCAGAATCACAGTAGACTTTTCAACCCACCCATCAAGTCAAGGAGAGCCTGGAGTGAGGTATTTCAAGCCCTAAAAGTAAACAGCTTCCAACTTAGATTGATGTATCCTGCAAAACTATCTTTCAAAATTGATGGGGAAATAAGATACTTTCATGACAAAGAAAACCTGAGAAACTTCATGAATACCAAACTAGCACTCCAAACAATTCTAAACAATATCCTAGAAAAAGACAAAGAAGGTCACAACTCCATAAGACTCAACAGAACAAAGCCAAGGAAAGGCAAGAAACTAAAGTGGGAGGGAGGAAAATAAAAAATAAAAGAGCCAACAATAGGAAAATAACATGACAAGGCTAAGTCAATACATATCAGTTACAAACATCAATGTTAATGGCCTCAATTCACCAATCAAAAGAAATAGACTGGCAGAATGGATTAAGAAGCAAAATCCAGCAATATGCTGTATACAAGAAACACACTTAATTCAAAAAGAAATTCGTAGACTGAAAGTAAAAGGATAGAAAACAGTTCTCCATGTGAACCCGAAAAAAAGCAGGGGCAGCTATCTTATTTGTAGACAAAGTAGATTTCAAACCAAAACTAATTAAAATAGACAAAGAAGGTCACTACATCCTTGTAAAGGGAACAATCAAAGAGGAAGAGATTACAATCATAAATATACATGTACCAAATACTAATGCCCCTAACTATACAAAACAAATATTAATGGACATGAAAAACCAAACAAGCACTAATGGAATTGTAGTGGGGGACCTCAATACCCCACTGTGACAAATAGACAGACAGACCAGGGCCGGGGATTTTAGCTCAGTTGTTCTACCACCTGCCTCGCAAGCACAAGGTTCCGAGTTCAATCCCTGGTACCAAAAAAAAAAAAGACAGATAATATAGACAAAAAATCAACAACGGAATTATAGAACTGAATCAAGCTTTTGAATAAATGAACTTAATAGATGTCTACAGAGTGTTCCACCCCCACAAAATCAGAATACATATTTTTTTTGGCTGCACACAGGTCACTCTCCAGAATAGACCACATGCTAGCATAGAAAATGTTTAATTAAATGCAAAGGAATTAAGGTTATACCCTGTATATTATCAGACCATAGTACAATTAA